TGTCGTTTAGCTGTTCTGTTTTTACCATGTCTGGAAAGGCCTAAATATGGCATCTTTTCTACTTTCCTTCGTATTGCAACCCCATGTGCGTTCCTATTTTCCACATTAATTGAGCTACCAGTAGGTCTAGTCACCCTATGTCATCTTCCTTGTTTAACCTTTTAGCCCAAATAAACTTGTCCACTTGGTTCACAGAAGCTTTATGTTACTGAAACCCATAATCGAGGGCTCAAAGCCTGAAACCCATGGATCATCTTAGACAACTTAATTTTTACAAACCTGCACAATTCATTCCTTTACATTTTGTGACATCGTAATTTAAATCGATCAATACTATGCTAATAATTTGATTTTTTTCAATATATATATCAACTTGTAAGTCTTCTTCTAAAGGAAAGGAGTACTAAACGAGGAAAAAAGGGTTTTGTCGAGGGGTTGCTGTATATACGGTTAGGAAAAATATCATATGCATATATATCTATGTCTTTACGAATATAGTTTCTCTGTATAGCGTATAATGTATATAGCTTCTCATCAAACTAAAATGTCAGATCAATGAGTGATTTAAAATCCATCGGTGTGCGTTATATTCCTGCATTTCCAATGGTCAATTAGCGTTGACAGTTCGAAGGTGTTTCATCTCGAATCATGGGCATTTTAATTCTACAATGTTATACCATTTTTCTTGTACAAGCCTACACTACAATCTTGCTTATATCTGCATGTGTGTGATAAACCTAGTTGCACCTATGCTAGCTATTTGGATATTTTATTTATTTTCAAGTATTAATTCACGTGTCACGAATAGATTCTAGTGCAAAACATATCTTAATATAATAGCAAGGATATGTAATTCTTTAAATGCATGCATGAACTAAGTTATCTTAGTGGTTAAAGAGATGATTATTATTCAAAGAGTTCTCGAATTTGTACACATTTGTATAATGAATGTTTGAGCATTCATTGTTAAATGAGTTGAGAGTCTTTAAAAACGATACTATCTTGTTGTCAAGAAAAAAATTAAACATACACGCCTCAAATATATATTTACGTCTAATGGTGAAAAATCTTTGGAAATCTGCAACTCGGAAATTGAAAAATAAGCAGCTAAAATAGGCGTGGGGGCAAGGCAAGGGAGAGTGAAGGAACCGAGAATGCTGGAGTTTTACTAGACATGGATTGGAGGTGATTTGTTAGCTCGAATCCCCATTGGAGCCTGTCCCGCTGTCGCTCCCTTCTAAACACAACAAACACAAACATCCACCCATGAAGATCGCCAAGCTACAGTTCCTTAAGACATCAAAGCTAAATGCATGCTCTCAGCAGGAGAATGTTTAGCGGCGGTCCTTGCCTGAAATTTATGTTAAGGAGAGAAACAAAGCTTTAAACTCATTACAATTATATTCCCAAAATATTATTGCTTGGTTTTGTATTTTCAATACGGATGCATGAAATATGAAAGATTTTGGTCCCAGGTATTCTCAGCATTAGTAACAGTGTGTTAGACAACCTTAATAACCAAACCACGACACCATCACGGTCACTACTTACCGGTTCAGTGATGTATACAAGAAAAAGCATGGAAGGAGGCAACAGGCTTTTGGGGCCATGGAATGGGGACGGGTCGCAATTTAATGGGTCACATGGATTGGCTGACACATGCAACTAGAGCCGGTATTGACGGTTAAGGGGACCCCTTTTGTGTTTATCAACATGAACAAACAAACGATGGTTCACGCATTCTGGTCTCTTTTTTCTTCTATTCTACCCATGGTATTTGTTGGTCCTACCGTCCCTACAGGTTGTTTTCGTAGGCCCAACTTATATTTGCAATGCTTTTTGACCTTCTTCTTCTTCTTCTTCTTCTTCTTCTTCTTCTTCTTCTTCTTCTTCTTCTTCTTTCTGGAGTCAAAGGCCTTCTTCTTTCTAGTTCGTGTTTTGGGAGGACCATTTGCAATCAAGTCTATTTTTTTTCTTTTAATTCTTCAAAATTTTAAATTATTCAGATCTCATTCTATCATTTATGGATTACTATAGTTCGAATTTAGATATGGAAGAGAATTAAACTGTCCTAAATCACTAAATCATTCTATAAATTCTTTTTTCCCTTATTTTTTCAACTTTCATTTACAATTTAAAATAATGAATTATAATACTAAATATATAGTTTCACATAAACATGATTTCAAATATCAATTTCATTTAAAATTATATAGTATAATATGCAATTTTCAATATTGTTTTGTAACTAGTACAGAATAAGAGACATTTTGGTCACCAAAGAAGCTTGTTGTCGAGTTCGATCAAAAAAGGCTTTCCCACTTTTTAAGTTGAGCATTATAATATTTAAGTATTTCAAGACCAAATGGTGGGCAAAGGCAAAATGAAGTGCAACACAAGCGACCTGGCTTAATTGCAGCCCATCATCCTCGGAAGACTCAATTAGCTATCAACGCTAAGATAGTTGGGCGCCGCGTTAGCTTTCTTTGAATTCCTTTGTCTTCATTGTTCTTCACTTCTCCCTTTATTTAACATGTGATTTTCTTTTTGGATGTTCTTCTGAATCCCCTACATTGAATTTTCCAAATAAAGGTCTGCTTTGTTGTTCCTTTTTTCCCCCTGGTGAGGGCTGCTTGGATTGGGACCCAATTGATCGGAATAAGGACATGAGGGAAGCAACCCATACCATGTGCATGTTCTAAGAGAGATCTTTAATCTACCCGCATTTATTTCTCTTACTACAAATACCACCATAACACCTACACTACACTCTATCTCTCTACTCTACAAAAAAAATTTGCCTTTAACATGTCAATCACACCTTGTTTCCTTGTTTTCCTTCTCTGTCTTTCTCTGCATGCTTCTACTGCTCGTCGCCTTGCTGCAGTTCACAGTGCTAATCAACGTATAAAAGAACTTCACGTATCGGCCGCCAAGGTTTGTCTTCATTATATAATCATCTTATGCATGTGGATACTCAACTTATGTTGGGCATTTGTCATTTTGCAGAACGATACTCAGAAGCTGCAAGACGCTGAGGTCAAGTTTAAGACAGTCGAAAACGAGAAAGAGAAAAGTAGTTCAGGCGAAATTGGAGCAAGTAAGCCTGTTGTTTCAGTTTCATGGCGGGTTCCTCATAGAAAACATGGCGAAAAGCTTCCTGGTTTTAACCAAGATTACTCACCACCAAAGACACATCCTCCTTCTCACAACTGAGATGATCAACATTTAATCCCTGTGTTGTTCAATTTTCTTGTCCGGGGAAGCAACAATGCAATGGATACTAGCATCGTAAACTATAGAGAGTACTCCAAGTCATATATATTAGGGCTTAAATGGTCATCATTCCAACATAGGCATAATATGTAATTTATGTTGGAGGATTATAATGAGTGAAAAGCCCCCAAGATTTAATGTACATTGAGCGAGGATCATATATATGTTTAATATATTTATGCCTCGTTTTGTATTATTGAAGTTTAAGGCTAGTGCCTAGTGTTGAAGCGAAACCCTTTCAAAAATGGGATTGTGATTAATAATATAACTGTTTTGGGGCAAAAACCTGCAAGTCCAAAGTGAACCATCCCTAAAATGAGCACAGTTACTGGTATATGTGATTCAAAAAATAAGCGTGGGGAGTTGAAGGTAGAGGAAAATAGAAGACGAATTAAAAGCAGAAATGGTGTGTAAAAGAGAGATACGTAGGGACATTGATGGTAGGAGCATATATGTAAGGTCTAAAGATGCGGTGGTCGAGTTTTCTCCTTAAATGAGGTCGGCTGCTTATCAACAGAAAGTTTGAATCATGTTGCACAATGCACATGGCCCCAACTGAATTTTTCTTTGTGTTCACCGGCCCTAGCATCTCGAGGAAGAATTAATACTTTACTAGTCATAGGATATACTATCATATATGAATGTTGTTAGTTTGAGTGATCATTGGAGTTGAATGTCCTTTTAGGTTATAATTTCACATCTTGTAGATAAATAAAACAGTATTAAAGGAGCTCAATTCCACGACTAAAATTTTAATTAAGGTTCAATAAAATAATCGGATATCAAAAGTCTAGAAAATAAATAATTAATGCAGGTAGCAAATGTTGAATATACCAGTGAACCCGCTGCTCCATTTTAAATGCTAAATCTTGTTGAAACCAGACCAACCAGTGGATCAGATCCGTTGGACTAAGAATTCGTTGAGGCAACAGTCCAGATATTAAGGCTGCAGATTACGAATTATATTAATGAACTTGCAGTAACCATTCGACCCTACATACCCCCTTTAATCTTATTTTAGTCTAGAATTACAATAAAAAATTTACTAGCATAATTGTAAACGTAAACTAAATTATAATTAAGATATTTTTTTATAAACATCGACACAAAAAATAGCTACTTAGATCACACAAAGACCATAAAAGGAAAAGGTTAAAAAACCTAACAAATGCTCAAACAAAATAAAGATGTGAAAATCAGAGTTAAGCGATGTGAGAAAATTATCCACGAGCATAAAATGTGTATCCAAATCAATATAAGGTCCAAAGCATGGAAAATTAACATGATAATAGATAAGTGACATCTTGATCAATCGTGACGATATCAAATCCAACCCTAAGAAAAAAGATAAACAAAAACAACTGTCAAATAACCGAAAACTACCAAAAAAATAGAGCAATATGTGCCACAAAAACATAGATAAACGCGTCATAAAGACAAAGATAAAATTAATTTTTATTAAAAAACTAAAAAAAACAAAGAAAAAAAGTAATTTGATATAAGTAGTAAAAAAAGGAAAGAAAGAATAATGCATAATTAGAAACAAATTTGCATATACTGTTTGGGGAGGGGGGCTGGTTTGCCTATCCATACCATATGCTTATTGGTCTCTCCAAGGCAAGGCTTGGATTGTATTTTTGGGCCAAAACGAATTTCAAATTATTCACTTATAAATTGGACCGTCTTCGCTAATCGTCGTCACTAGTTCTAAATTCTTATCCCTTTCTGTTTCCCGCCAAAACTCTCGAATCCCTAAAATCACTTATCACGCCTCGATTCCAATCGTTCTCATCCGTACTGGGGAGAGTAGAGATGGATGCTAGACAAGTTGGTTCATCTCTTGATTCTCTGATATCTTCGTTTAACACTCGAATCGCTGAGCTGCAAGAACTCGTGATTGCAAGGAACAGTGAGTTAACTCGGAATTCAGTTCACTTCACCATCTCCCCCTCCCCTTTTGTTTCGGGACCCATGCTAAATTTTGCTTTAGATTTTTTTCCTCGTAAAAACAGAAGCCGGCTTGTCAGCTTAATGTTCTGCCTTTGTTTACAGTGTACCCGGCGAGTAGTGTGACGGATTTGTCGGCAATTGATGCGGCTTTGAAGGGCATGGAGCTGCAGGTAAAGGCGATCAATGACCGGTTGCATGAGGAAACCGAGGCCATTCCCAAAGCCAAAGTTCGCTACTTCTAATTCTTCATTTCTTTCTATCATCTAGGGACTTGGTTTTTAGAATTACAGTTCAAAATAGGTTTTCTTACAAGCTAATTCGAATATTATTGGAAACGTTTTGGATGAGCTGAGATTGTTGATTTCAGAAACTGATTGCCAAATCGCTGCAGCAGCAAAAGAAATTACAGAGTATGTCCACTTATGTACCCACCTCATATTTGCCTGGAAGGTCAACAACATTGCCTGAAGGGTAATTAAATTTATAGATTTGTTTCCCATTATGTATCCAGGGATCTTTTCAATGTGCTAATATACTTTGATTTCATTTTTTTATGGAGAGATAATGATAATTTGTAGCATCTTTTTGTCTCAGTTTGGTTTCAGAAGCCTTTAAACAGCAGCCTAACCAGGGAACTATGGTTGAGGAGCCTGTGGCTTTGCCAAAGGTTTGTAATAGTAGTTAAACGAATGGATCTGAACACGGACATATTTAATTATACTTCATGCAATTGCAGGAGAAGAAGAGCCGTGGCTCTCCACCATTATGGTACATAACTGCAAGTGAACTGGATTCATTGTCCTCGTAAGTATGTCTTTTTAAACCAATGCTGGAATATTCTCTTTGCTGAAGTCTTTTCTTGTACAGTGACTTAAACAATCGCTCATTCTTGTCTGTCACTAACTCGTGCATTGTGCAGATACATGAGAGGAAGGCTCACTCTTGAGAAGGTCAATGCAGCCATTAGTGACATGGCAACATATGCTGAGGCAAATGCTCAGCTTGTTGCTGCTCCTAAAAAGAAGGTAGTCATTTAAAGCTTTGTGGTGTTTATTTTTGTGTCTAACTGTCTATGATATTGTGGTCATTGTTGATAATTTTCACTTTCTTCATGAAGTTGGCAGAAAACCTGTGGGAGAGAGCCTTGGTAAGTGAACCCTAACCAGCTTACGACACAATGTTTCTATGTTGTCTATTGTTAATTTTTTTTCAGAACTAACAATGTTTTTTGTAAGTTAGAGAACCATGGCATCTCACCAGAATATGTATCAGCTGTGTGGATAAGAAATATTGTCCTTTATTTCTGTTTCAAACAATTGGCTTATAACACATTGGTGTAGGACATGCTGATTAACTGCTTTGAATTTGCAAGTAATATTCTAAGTTACCATATGCAGGAACTGAGAGATATTGCAACGTCGGATTCTGTAAAGGGGAAACACTTTTTCCTTGAAACTGACATGAAAGGACCATCATTGAAGCTTGACAATACTGGAAAAGCCATTCTGACAGTGAGTTCCTTCTTGCCCTTCCTTTCGTTTGCTAAGTGATAAAGGTCTGCTCATGTGATGCAAATGAATTAGGATTCATTGTTTGACCGATTAATAGGGCTGGTTTTATGGTATGTGATCTCAGAATGCTTGTTCTTTAAAATTGTTAAGATATATGGTTGAAATTTATTAATAGCGTTAGGTTATTCTCATGTGAAAAAATTTATAAGACTGTCAATGATTGTGCTGACATGGTTTGTAGTTGATTGATAAAAACTTCTAAATATTATACAAATGGGGGAAAGAGGCCTATTTCTATGATTGTTTTATATGTTTTTATGCGTGTAATGATCGTGGTATGGAAATGTCATTTGTCATGTTATAAAAAGTGACGTTTTATTATAGAAAAACATTGAAACCCCTTGCTTTTTGACATGGGGTTTGAGGTATTTATATAAGGCATTTCATGGCTGTGACAAGTATCATAGTGCATCACGCTGTTTGATAGGTCCTACGTCACCTTGGCCGCATCAGTGAGACGCGGATTGCACATCATCGAGTGATCATTCTTTTGAAACCTCAATGAATTGCCTCGATTCATGAATGCCAAATTACATTGTGTATTGCTAAATTGTGTCGGACCTGCATTGATGTTGAAGTTTGAAGACGATTTAGGGAGCAGTAGCCATGTAAACTCCACTGCGAGGATCGCTAAAGCTTACTATGACCGTCTCTAGGAATGTGGTTCAACTTTGAACTTGTTTATAATTTGGAGTTGTGATATATATAAACTTACATATGGGTTGATTTCTTTTATCCTCCAACAAGAATTTGCCAAGCTGTTCTCTCACGTGCTTGAGGCAATACACTTAATTTGGAGCAGACGGAAACTAGGATTTTTCATTAATTTCATTATATATATTTGAAGATGAAATTTCTCTAGTTTTTTTTTTAACACAGGAGTGGGGTTTACCTGTAGACTATTGAAATTTTAAGTCGATAAAACAAATATTATAAATTTAAGAGTAAAAACACTCAAAGCCCCAATTTGTTGATCTTACTAGGGATTGAATTCCCCGGATTTATATAGTAATTTTGTTAGGAATAGTCAAATTCAGATTTCTTTTAAGTAATCCCATTCGTCACTGTACCTATTCCTCATGACAAAGACAATTATTAATACTTATTCTTCTCTACGGTAGTTAGCGGAACCCACCCGTGATTGTTTGTTAGCGATTAGGAAAATCACTAGTTAACGGTTACTGCATAAAAAAATAGGCTTTGCTTTTCTTGCAAATCTATGGCTCGTTATGGTATGAAATATATTCACCGAGTAATTCAGATCAAGTTTTGTAGAGGCTTATTATGGAGTAAACCTTTAAACCTAGTTTATTGTATTCGTAAATGTCAATGATTGAATCCTTCTAATCTTGTTTAAAAAGTCTAGTTCCTCCTCTCACGACCAATCAGTTGTTAGTAATGTTTTATTTCTTTAATTACAAGAATACATCAAATTTCCATATATATAAACCCTAGCCTACATCACCATATTGGCCATACCGTAAACACAAAATTACCTGTGAAGGAGTGCTATAATCTTAAACACCTCAAAGAGCTAAGAAAATGGGTTCCAAGACTGGCAACAATTGCTCTTCTCATCTCTCAACATTATGTTTTTCACAATGGTGAGGTCAACTTGAGCCCGTTGCCCACCAAGTCCCCATCATATGAGCCTCCATCCACTAGGCCACCCCCGAGTGCAGCTTCTTGCCCAAGGGATGCCCTAAAGCTGGGGGTATGTGCCAACTTGTTGAAAGACTTGGTTCACGTTGTTGTGGGTACCACACCAAAGACCCCTTGCTGCCCTCTCGTCGGGGATGTTGCTGATCTGAAGCTTCTGTTTGCCTTTGCACTGCCTTTAAAGCCATTGTGTGGGGAATTAACCTCAATGTTTCACTCTCCTTGAGCTTGGTCTTGAACTACTGTGGTAAGGGTGTCCACAAGGGCTTCCAATGCGCCTAAGCGCGCTGCGCGTCTCTTCTATCTCAACTAATTTATTCTCCATTTCATGATTTCTTATTTCGTTGTTAAAAGCTTTCGTTAAGTTTGTTTCTGTTCTTGTTTATGAGTTTGATTTTGTGGTGATCAACTCGACCATATTGCTTTTTTGTACTCCAGAATAACCAAATTCATAGTAAAAAGAGCAAGAGTTTAAAATGTTTCGGAGCTGAATGACCAATTTAAAATTTGGGTTATAGATTAGGATCATCTAGTGAAATTAACCCCAAAAACTGTATTTTATAAACACTATAAAACTCGTTGCCCTATTACATATGAGTACAAATTTCTAGCTAAGTTATTTGGTTGTACACATGCTGTAACATGGACCATTAACATGCCTGTTAAGCATAATTTGGATTAAAATATAATATTGTCAATGTTTATTAGGTTAAATGACAAAAGAACGTTTAATTTTTAAGTAATGTTATAGGTTTAATTTTTTGAATAAAGAAAATCGATATTACAATAATTTGTTTTTTAAATTAGAATTTAATCTGAATTAAATAATGGAAAGTTGTTATATCTATAAAATCAAAATGTCTTTTTAGAAGAAAAGAATGAGGTTAACTAGCTAAGCATTCAATATTAAACAAGATCAGGAATAATCCGTTATATAAGCAAAGAGGACGGATAATAAACAACAAAATATGAGCAAAATAGAGAGAATTAAGAGGATATTTTATGGGCATACAAAGCCTTGAGGAACCTTTTTCCCACAAGCATTTATCGACAGACCGATGGCAACGGGTATTTTGACCTTGATAGCTCCAAGCACATTGGCCTTAATCGCACTACACAAGCACGATGCAGCCTCCAGATCAGCTAGACCCTAAATCAGTGTACACCACTCCTTAATAGCCATGCACCGATCCCAACCAGCTTCCGCGAACCCCAAACTTGAGCGTATCTTTGGGACATTTGGCCGCAGGCAAAAGTGTCGGTTTCGGTGGAGGCTGGCATGGGGCGACCTTATGAGACGAAACGCAAGTGAAAAACAAAACGTTAATCAACATGAAAAGAGCTAGGAATCAGTTTGATATTTATGGAAAGTGAGGTAGGCACTTTCTTGTAGAGCAAAACGAAATGTTGATGGATGAGTTTGAGGAGAGCTAGGAATCAGTGGTATGGAAAAGTAGGATGTTAGATATTTATGGACGTGTGATTGACATTGAAATTTCTAAAAGTGATATAAAGAATTCGTGGTTCTTATTAGTATCAGTAAAGCTAGTGCCTGCCATTGCCAGGCCAGCCTAGCATCAAACGCTGATGGCAGTATTCGGCCATCGTTGGAATTAACCCAGACCCATTCTTCACTTATTTCTGTGGTTATATTCTTTTAAGAAAAATATCTATATCAACAGCTGATGTGAGTCTGAATATTTGAAGATATTTAATTTGTTCTTCATGCATTCAGATGCTGTAACCATTATTAAGAGTGGACGGGGACATTAATCTAAATTCTAAAATTTTAATATGGTTTATTTTACATTTTATATGTTAAGCGAAAATCCAAATACTTGGCAGATACTGTTATTCAGTTTGCATTAAGATGATGCATATAGTAAACCGATTTGAATTCTAAAGTACAAACATCCGACACTACCATATGGCATCCCTAGTTAATAAGCTGATGGACCTCTTTAGCCAATTGAGAAACAGAGGGATGGATGGTTCAACCATTTGGCTCAAAATAAAACATTATAACCCAACAACCAACATGTTACACGTGTAAGCGAAACCTGAAACGGCAAATTTATTAACAATACCTTAGTTTACATAAGCTTGAGACTATCTAACCATCACGGAATCAATTCACCTGATCGATCAACACATTTTCTCAGGGATACAAATTTTACACACTAAAGGCAAGGACCTAAAAGTCATTAAATTTTTAATATGAGTCCGTTCTGAGTTCTTCCTAAGCTATCTTAACAAGATAGCCAATCAGGACACCAAGAAGACCAACTAGCACCACAAACATTAGAGAGAAGCCACCAGAACGAGTTTTGCTAATATCTTTTCTCATCATCTCCTACACGAAAAATGTGTTATGGTGGAGCCATAATTAGCATGTAGAAGAACAAAAGATAATAAAACGATTCTACAGTACAAATCAGCATAAATTCGAAAACTATGGTTATGTCACATCAAGGGATTACTTTGGACAAAAAAATAGGGGAGAGGTGAGCTAACAAGAGATCTAAACAGACAAGTATGGTTAGGCAGGATGTAGAAAGCAGTAATACGAAGCCATACTTCATACAGAACAGCAACATGATTCCAGTGACCAAGATAAATATATTTAACTGCAAAGCAGTCATCATGCCAATGTCATCATTGAAATTCTGATCTAGCCAATTCTCAATTTAAATTTCACCCCTTTAACTTAAGAGCAGAAATTGGACAAATCAGCCTGAATGGAACTAATACTATTATAAGATGTTCAGAAAAGTTGAACAGATACATAAGAGATTATGAAAAGGAACAAGGCTGGGTACTCTCCGGTGCACAAGATAATCAAAACAAAGATATCTGCTACTACAAGCTCATACCAGTTCTTGTCTTAGCCTCTGATTTTGTTGCAAAGCAGAAGCTTTCTCGTCAGTCAACTTCGAAATTGCAGACCATGCCTGGAGATAAACATACATTTAAAAACCAATGTTACAAGAAAACGACAAGTCAAGATTACAATACTTTTAAAATCACATCTAACATGATAGATACAAAACAGAGGAATGTTAACAAATAGGGCAATGTACCATCTAGATATAGTTTTTGTTATATGGAAAAGAGTCTAATGCTTCCCGCTTTTTTGGTACATCTCATACATAAGAATTATATAAAACCATTAATGACATACAATGTCACACATTGCTATGTCTCAACATTGCATCAATAATGAATTATTTTTGTAGTAAAGAATAATTATCATTTATCCTTAAGAGGACAAACTTAAGGCAGGTAGAGATACTTTAATCACCGGTATCCGACCCATTGGCCAACTAATCCGAGTCGGGCACTATAGAGGCCCATTATGAGGGCAACCAGTCCAACTCACTTTGCACTGTTCTCAACGCTAGGATTTGAACCTTAGAAATTGTTCAAGGGATCTAGCATCTCATTCCGATAGACCAACTGGTAGTTGGTATAGTTTCTTTTATTTACTACCCTTCTTAAGTTTTTTGCAAGAAATTTATCATTACTCATACTAACTAAACACAAGCATACCCTGGAATTCCTTTAGCTAGAGTTGGAAGAAAATTCGAGGGGAGTCTGAGTATAACTAGATTATAAAATGAGCATTTTGCACAAACCAAATAGTAAAACAATAACAATTAGGTCCACGTAGTTGAAATGCAAATTAAGTTGAGCAACAAGTGACACAAAAACAGGAAATGTTAACTAACCTACATACTAAAGATGCCAACCAAATGTACTAACAGGACAAGATCATGACAGTTGTGTTAAGATGAAATGCTTCTTCAAAGAAAAAGGTTGGAAATATTAACTAAGCCACAGGGAGATACATACCTCTGATGACTTCTCTTTAGTATCCTCTAAAGATCTCGATACCTAAATTTCAAATTAAGTTGAGCGGTAAGTGACACAGAAAGCATATCACTAGTGAGTAATAGCTTCTCCAATAATTGCTGATAAAAGGGGAAAAAGAACCTTAAATAAAAAACATATTCTTGGCCTCTTACCAACCAGAAAAACTAGAAGAGACATACCTCATCAAAATTTTGGATCCCATTTTCTACTGAAGATGATCTGGGAGGGGTCCCCTCTTCAGATCCTTCAGGAACAGGAGAGGGGGGATTAGCAGGAATGTAAATGACTCGCATTTTGAATTCCTTCACGACACGGCCATCCTCTTTGTTAAACTGCATTCAAATCACACATTCATGCAACACAAAGAAGAAACCAGTAAGTTGACAGAACAAACAACAGTCACATAGCCGTCATACCATTTCTGGGTTATGTCTTTGTTGGTTAAGCCATCAGGTGCAATAACACTCTGGATAAGGAACTTGTCCCTGCATGGCTCAGGAGGCGCCTCCTTTTGAGCTTGCATGGCAACTGCCAGAAAAAACTCATGTCAATAAACCATAAAGATATAAGGTACTATCTAAGAGGAAAAGAAAAATAACAGAACAAGTAAACGCCAATGTATTACATAGCTGCCACATAGATCAAAAGCATGGACAAAAAACTCTAATTAAAAACCAATAAATTACTCAATACTTACCGGTCACACTGCATGAACTCCCTGGCAAAACGATACCAGAGTTGGGACGGACGCAATATTTCTTAGGGTTGGTTGTTTTAACCTGTGAATAGCATTAAAGAGAATTTTCATATTATGATATAAGTTTATCAAATATCAAACCAATCACAGATAAAACTGGATGAACATTAAAATTACCTTGAAAGCAACATATTTTTCTGTCTTGTTGGTCAATTGCATAGAACATGAAGTTTGCCTCCTCAATTCAACTACGAAATTCCATATCAGGTATTCAAAACTTCTTATTGTTTGTTCACTGATTAAAATCAAATGGAAAAGAAAACGTACATGACAATAATAGAAATACAACCTAAACCCTTTTCATTTATTTGCTTCTAGGTATCAGTATTTACTCGCATGGTTGTTTTCTTATTTCGTAACTTGTCAGATCAGATTAGTTTATTTAATACATATATTTACAACAAAAGCAAGAAAAAGGGAAGGATGCAGTCGAGAGCTTACATGGGAATTGAATCTCTGATGGATGGATACTGAGAAAATGTCCCATGCTCATGGATCCAGATCAACAGATTTGTGGGTTTTTTAATGGATTATTTCCTGATAAAATTAAAAAAAAAATGTGAAGAAAAGAAATCGGAGGGACAGCGAGGTTTGATTTAATTTTTGGCTAAAATGGTCACTGAACATTTGTATTTTGCTCATTAAATCTTAAAAACTTGCAATATAATGACTAGACACTTAGTTTGGCTTCATTATTGTCGATTTTCATTTTAAAAAAAAAAAACTATAAAACCATCTTTCAAAGCTGGACAAATATGGCTTATGCGTTGTCTTCGAATTCTTATGATAAATGAAAAAAGTCCTGCATTAGATTCCACTGCACATAGATCAGACGGCACAAAATGTTGTAGTGTCCATGTCTAAATGTTAAAAGACGAGTTATTGTGATTTCTTTAAGAAGAAAATATTTAAATTGGCGACCATTGTCGAACAATGAATATGTTATGTTGGCCGGCTATATCTTGATTATCAATGAATATGTGCTTTTTGGTAATGATACAGAGAAAAGATGGATCAAGTTCTGGAATAGAAATGGTAGCATGTTGATTGAATATTAAAACATTACTTGTCTACCTAACCATAACCTCTTACAATAACAACACTCCTTCTAACCACTAACATCATTTGACGGGTTTCGAATAAAAAATGTTAATTATGAAAATAACACAAGAATCAATGAGGGTTATACTTTGATCAACGAGGTGGAGGATGGTGCCCGTAATAACTAGAGGAACGAAAGTGGGCTATGGTGTCGTCAAATGAATGTGGTGGATACATTGGCCTGATTCCAACTTTAAATGGGACCATTACAGTCAAGCTGAAAATTGAAAAATCCATGGTTGTTTTCCCAAAAGCCTAACATTTTCATGAAAAAGCTTAGATAAATCCTTTTTCCCCTTAAAAAAAAAAAAGACAGTTCAACTTTGACAAAACTATGTTATGTATATTAGGGTTAAAGTCTAGGACGAATTTCGTTTAAGTTTTGTAATATAATATTCAGTCACTTTCATTTATGTTTGTTTAAAATGTAATCACGAGTCAAATGTAATTAGACTTTTAGCGGATTGCTAACGGTGAATATATAAAATTTAAAAAGACAAATTACACAAATGATCATTAATATTTGAATAAAATTTTATTTTTTCAGGTAAATATCTAAAATCTCTTTTTCAGACCGATCAACCTTCTTATAAACATCACACTTTCTCTCCCAAATAGATTTGCTCCTTGAACCCAATACATCTCCCAAATAGATTTGCTCGTTTTCTTTACTTCCTCAACAATATCTTGAAAATATACAAACTGAAAATACTTTAAGGCCGTAGAAAAGTTCGACTAATAAGAAGTAGAAAACATTGCTAAATGAACTAGCAGGTAAGCATGTAAGCAACTCAGTCACCCATTCTTCAAGTGATAAATACCACTAAAAAAACCAATAACTGAACAATAATAAACCAACAAAGAAAGTAGCAAATTAGAAAAGGAATCCATTATCTGCAACAATACCAAGAACCAATTAGAGATACCATAAATTTTTTAGCATGAAAAAAGGAACATAAAAGCTCAAAGCATGAAAAAACCACATCATATTTAAGCAAAAGGCTAAAACTTGACATAGGAAATCTTATTTTTGTAGATGTACTCAGGGATGTCAAACCCACGAGGAGCAGAGCCAATTTATTTTGCACGGATACAGATACAGGGAAAGATACGAAAAACGATAATTTCTAAAATTTACATGGTACAAGGACAACAAGAGTAAGACATATAAAAAAAATTAAAAATTATAAATATATGTCAAATCTCAAAATAAGCAGACTCCCGTTATTACTCTCAATCTCACTACCGCTTTGAGATGTCATATTTAAACTAAATTGATTTGTTTACATTAAATCAGAAAAACATATTAATTGAGTTCAAAATCATGCATAGGACTAAGCACACTGAAAATTGGAAAACAACATTTGAACCGGACTAAGCACACTGGAAATTAATCGGACTAAGCACACTGTTTTGATAAAAAAAAAGTTCAATCAAAATAAGTATTATTGTTGATGAAGCCTAGGACCTGCATTCAAACTTTTCAAGGGAGACTGTTTTTGATATCACATTATTATTAATTTATTATTCTCCATCATCGTTGCTTCTTTTCTAGGCCTTACTTGCTTGGCCCTGTTAAACCCTGGCACGAACAAGCAAAGGGCACTGCATTTGAACTCAACTTCATTACCATCCATAACATGCTAATTTGAACTAAGCACACTGAAAATTAACATTTAAACCTGACTAAGCACATTATCACACTGGAAATTAATCAGAAATTAAATAGGACTAAGCACATTGTTTTTAACCGAACTAAGCTTCAAGACTGAAAAACATGATAATCTAAATTAAGCTTTAAGACTGAAATTACATTGGGGGCATTTTTCAAGTTCCAAAATATGGAAAACAAGCAATAAAATAAGAAAAATGAACACTGAAAAAACCATTTTATGAAAAGCTTTTCAAGCTTTAAAAACCTGCTTACCTCCTCCTTCCTCTCTTAGTCAATTCTCCTTTGCCCACCTTGTTCCAAATCAGGCAAATCTTTAGTATCCCCTTTGTTTCCAAGGCACCCCACAGTTTCCAATAAGCACAAGAGAAGAAGACGAGAATAGAGACGGAAATGCGGAAATTTTACTGTCTCGTGCTTCTTAAAAGTCAAAATTAGGTTTTGTTTTATTTTTAAAAAATTTTAATGCAAAATGCCAAAATTACCCCGGACACATGTAATAGTCATGTCCCCGAAACATCTCCAGAATTGCGTTGATCGTCCCCAAACTTGGTCAGTCGTACTCCGCCACCGTGGCACATTCCCATACCGGGGACGTTTCGGATACTTGAAACGTGTAAGAAGTGCCGTCCCTGTGCTTTATACGTGCCAACAATAATATCAAAGGAGACAGCATTGGAAACTCCAAAATTTCAATAACTTGTTGCCCATATCAATTCGTGAAGGAGGGAATCTGCAAATTGTTCATGTAGCAACAAAGAATGTTTACACTGACAAGTTTTTACTTGTCCAGGTCATAATATAGTAGCAAGCTTTAATGATGAGAAGCCACTCTCAAATACTAGTGACTATTTGTGTAATTTTAACTCTCAATGATCACAACTTAATCAAATAAAATCAAAAGTGACCAAATATTATGTATTTTAAATTCAGTGAGGAAAAGTGTACTAAATTTAGATAAAAGTGATTAATACTGTAATTTACCCATTCTTAAATTATGGTTGAAATTTTAACTATTCGTTAAAATTTAAAATATTTTCATTTGATTCATTTATTTTAAATATATCTTATGCCGCATACGATCTAACTTTTAACGCCTATGGCATTTAGGCTAGAAAAGGTTGTAATTGATATAATCTAGTACTTTATGATTCAATTATAATATTTTTAAGTTTGATGACTAATTTAAAATTTATGTCATAGTTTTGGGGTTATCCGATAAACACTAGAGTTACGAAGAACTAGACTAGCTACCAAGAGAAGTAAGAAAGTTTTGGTTAGGGGAGGAATCTGGGTCGTGGTGCATGCCTTTAATAGGCAATGGACATGATCCCTACTGGATAAGGGTCGATGATATAATCACGAGTGTCCTCCTAAGATGTGGTTGTATCATACAATAAATAGGTGAGATAGAAGAAATATGTGAGGCTGCATTGCTTGGCTATTGAATGTGATGGATATTATAAAAGCCTTCAAGTATATGACCTGGTGGTAATCCCTAGACGATGACCCCTTTATTGATGAATTCTTTGGGTGGGAGAGCACTTAGATCAATGGAAGGCCTCAAAGCAAAAGAGAAAAAAAATGACACATAGAAAAAGAAGTATCTGTTCTAAATTTCAAGATCGACGAACGCTAACAAAAGGGGCGTATCTTCCTCATTTTATTAATTTGATCCAAAACCTTGAACGCTTACCCCAAGTCTAGACACAGTGCAATATCTTACGTTTAAATATTGTGATCGTATCTTTTTATTATTAGATCGGAATCTCTAATAATCGAAAATATGTTATTTTTAATGATGTCTACGAGCCTCTATATTTTATCTCCCAACTCATAAAAGGATCTTAAGGGCATCTCGACTCAGGAGAACACAATCGTACGTCTAGCTCTTCTCATGTGTAGTTCACTTCAGTTGATTTGGATGGAGTCACAAGGTCCCAATTTAACGATTGAACCCATGCACTGAGCAAAGTTTAAATCTACTGATCATGGATCAAGGTACTTTTGGGGACTCTCTCAAGAAACAAGAGAAATCTCGATCCAAAATAACATTCAGACACTTCACAAAGCAATACATTTTTCTATTGTTTGAGGGTTCTGATCAGATATCTCAACAAATATAACTTTGGGGATGGAGAATATTTAAGAAAACCTAGCAAGTAATTTTAAAGCTTTTTAGGTCGAATAAAAAAAATCACAAATGCAATAACAAAGACAAAAAAGCAGATGCACACATTTATATATGTCGAACAATATACTACGTTTGTTTAGTTCTGTTTCCAGTTAGTTCGCAAACCCTTAATCTACTAAATGAAACAGAAAAAAAGACGCAAACAAATTAAACGTTAAAAGGAGAAGATTAAGCGAGAATTAACAGTAACCATTGGACGAACTATTATGACATGAGGCTAACATCTGAGAATTATAAATTCATCAGCATAAAAGCCTTCATCTTCATAAGAGTTCTTTAAATTAAGGTACGACGACCAGATGTAATTAGGTTTCACAAGCATTAAAGTCCGTTCAAAGTAACCCACGTCTTTCTAGGAGAACATAACTTAAAAATTGATAACGAAGCCTAATAACAGCTTAAACAACTGTAGGAAATAGAGAAGAAACAAAGAAACCCTAACAGTAGTTTGCACTTGTTTATTAGTGGGGAGCGACACCCACGTTGGTTGGAGCAAAGAACCCATCTTTCATCATCACGTCCTCTCCTTCCTGCAACAAAAAATATCCCAGAATAAAAATGAAAACCAGTTACTAATTGTGTAGGTTAG